GAGAGAGAGAGAGAGAGAGAGAGAGAGAGAGAGAGAGAGAGAGAGAGAGAGAGACCTTTGAATCGGTTCAATGACTTTAATCGATAAAAATAAATGAAAAACATATAAACTTGTGTTGACTTTTTTACTCGCAAAACAAAAACCAAACATATTTTCATTAGTTTTGCCACTAATTGTGAGAAGAATTGTAATCAAATTGATTACAGCAAATAACGTGATAATTAGACGGAGAAAAAACACTTTTATAATCATTAAAATGAGAGCAAATTGTGTGCCGGAAGAGACCAAATGACAGCAAAAACTAAAGTAACAATTGTTTTATGAATTTTGCGGAATATTATCACAGATTGAATGCCAGTCGACAATACTGTATACCGTACTGAAGGGCTCAACCATTTGCCACAAAAAAAACACAAACATTGAGAGAGAAATTAATTTAATTAAAGGTTTTTATTACTTTAGTGGGACTGATATTCTCCGACTACTAATAAAAAAGGTCATAAATTTTTATTAAGTATTGATCTCTGGTTTCCTTCACACAACTATAGTGTACTATATTTTGATTAAAATTTAAGTTTTTCAGTGTATTTATTGTAATAGTAATTGAGTCACACGTGTATCCGCTATTTGTGTAGTACATCAATACAAGAACTTGCTAAACAAATTCAAATAAAAAACATCACTTTAAAAAATAATTTTGTTTGTATTTTGTCAATTGAATTGTAATAAAATTTTCTGTGTAAGCATTAATACAGTATTAATAGCACAAAAGTTGATTAATTTGCAACAAATCAATAATTGGCCGCAAAATCAATGTAATTCTTTGACCGCAATTCTCTTGTTGTTGTATTTATGCCATTAAATACCAATTCTTGTATTTATCTCTATATTCAGCGTTTTATATGTCTTTTACGTATCGCATACTCAAAAAGGGAGAGACAGGGAGTTATACCTAATATTATTATACACAACGTATACCACAATAAATAAATTATAACATTTATCTTTATGTAATATTAACTACTCATTATATAAATGTACAGAATTACACACATTGAATACAAAAAAAGTACATTTATTAAATAAATCTTTAAGATCTTATCTACCAATCGCTCACATGGTATTAAAATTGTTTGCAGTAATATTGCAGTCATTGATACCATAATCAATTTGCTCTAAACGGCTGTCAATAGTTTTGTTTGGTATAAAAAACAATATCAAAATAAAAGAGTAAAACACCCCCGAAATACAGGCTTAGTTACGCCACTTATATGTACAGTACTTTTTTCTCTCACTAACGGCACATACATCTGCTCTCCAATGACTTTTGATATACAGAATCTATTCATACATAGATATAAACATATATACAGAATATTCTGTAGATATAAAAAGTGACTCCAATTTTTTCGTGCTCTCATATTCTGTTCGTATGTGTGTTTCGCTGTTATTATTGCAAAAACACACATATATTTATATAAATACATATAGTATTCATTACAATATGTAATAATTGACTGTATGTGCGATTCGATAGCTCACTATTGGCTAAACATAATAACACATAACAGTAATAAATAGTGTGTGAAAAACAGTGCAAATGAGGAGAAGAAGTAATCGACATAAATATGTAGAGAAAAATTGACTCAAATTTGTGCACATTTTCTATAACTATTGGGTTTACGACTAATTGTGTTACGAAAGTAAAAACAAATGACACACCGATTATGTCATACCTTATGAGTTTGTCGGAACCGTTGCCCACTTTTGTCTCTCCTCTACATTTCAACGCTATATTTCTCTAAACTAAATGTGAATTTAATTATTTGTACGCAAATATATATTTTCGTGGAAATTCTTTCGCGATTAATTAAAATTTCAATTTTTATTTTATTCATTTGTTTTGAAATTTAATCAATTATACAAATATTTTTGTCAAAAAACTTTTTAATTATTATTATTTTATCATTTCTCTCATTTTCGCTGTACGTGTACTTCAAATACAGTCATATTTTTCACATATAAATAAAATTCATATTGAATTCATTTCATTTCTCCTCAGGAATCGCCAAAAGCGAGTCACAAACAAGTGGTGCCGACTTTCTTCCAGCGCCCCGTAATATATCGGTTGTACTCATCC